CGATCGGTTATTTTACTTTTATTAGATTTTTAAACACCGATATTTTTTAAAAAATCTTGTTTAAAAAAGATTATTTTGGATTTTTTTATTTAAACTTTTGAATAATATTTAAGATTTTCAAATTTGAGTTCTAAAAACAAAAAAAATCTTGCAATGCAATTTTTTTTTTAGCTCAGTACCTAAGTAATTATTAAAAATAAAAAATAAAAAAACGGAACAAAAGTTATTGTATTCGCCGAATCATCCTGGGACACCCTGTATATTTATTATAGTATTTCCGATGTTGCACCATGGGCTTGTCGATCAAATTCTTACTATTACACGATTGTTGTTCTGTTCGTAATTTATGATTAATAAGCCTAATAAGCCCCCGACCAATGTAAACCACCCAAACACTCCTCATCCACGGAAGACTGTTTTCGCTCACGTAGGTCGTGGTTTGAATGTTTATTTTTCGACCGTCACTCGCATCATAACTGCGAGTGGCTGTTAAAACACTTTGTTTAACATTAAAATTCCAAGTCCGTATCTGCTGCACTGTCCGCACCAGTACGGTGTAATCATACCATCCGTTGCGCGTTCGCAACCCTTCCGGAGCAGCAACGATCCCTTACGGTACTGGTGTCGTCGCACCCGTTGCGGCACCCGCGCCCGTGGCCGACCGGACCGTTGTCCTCGCGGCAGCCACCGCACCCGCCGCCGCAGTCGTACTCGACGCGAATCCGGCCGCACCGGACCAGCTGCGACAGGCACCGGCGGTATGCGCGCGACGTCCGCAGGTCGGCCCACACGTAGTAGTGACCCGCCTGTTGCCATTGCGGGTCCACGCGCCGACGGTTCATCGTCGCCGACTCGTCCACCGCCAGCCGGTACTGCACCGTGTCCATCACAACGTCCGCGTGCACCGGCTGACCGTCGCCGAAGTGCTCCAGCAGTATGCGCGTGATCAACGCGGCCACGGCGACGTCTTCCGGTCCGTCGGGCCCGTCTTCCGGTCCGTCTACCGTCTCCGCCACCCAGTCGTCGGTCGCGGTCTTTGTCGTTTTCTATGAACTGTGCGCTCCCGAACGCGTCGAGTTCTACGCGCGACTGTGTTCGCGTCTTAATTTACTTTTGCTGCAAGACGCGTTACACGTCACCGAGGAAACGATTTCGGTACATGCGTCACGCAGCGATCCCTATTTTTTTTTCAATAATCAATATTTACTGTGACAACAATTTTAATTAAAATTAGCATTTCATTGTTGTTTCTGTTCACTTTATCGTATTATTCGAAAGTTTCGAACGTTTTTATCTCCTCCCGATTACCTGTACCGATAGAAATTTCGCTCGATACTAAATAGGAGCTTTTTAACGATAAAGCCGGGACACAGGTGATTTTTCGGATTAGGATTTAAATTAATATTTCCGAAGCTTTCTCTAACCGCGCCCATGTGCATGTATATAGATCTACGGTGTATAGCATCTATTCGTGTTTGAAGAAGTTCGATTCGAAGAGCCGACAAAACTACATAGAGAAGTTTTATCGTGAACAATTGATCGGGCGTAATTGTATATTTATTGGGCGTAATATAAGGACGAGAGAATCGAGTGGAAGGAAGAGTGGTCTCTCCGTATTCATGATAGCGATGACGCAGTCATCGCGTGTCGCGATAGATTACCGATAAATACAAGGAGGAGAAAAAGGGGATAACACGTTTAATATTATAGAAGTATGTATTAGATAGGCGGTGATGTGATCGAGATTTTCAACGTTCATCCCGCTCCGTCGCGGATACTGTGTTAGTAAGAGGCGGGCTTTTCGGTAGGAAAGTCGTCGGTGGGGATGCCCGTCTGGTCTCATCGTCCCGTGCGCACACGCTTATTCAACAACGACGACGAATTATGATGGCGGACGCCATCGCCGGGCCACCATACACGGGTCCGGACTCGTACAGCATTTCTTTACAAACGCACATATCATACACAATATCGACATGGTAAACATACCGTACGTAATACATACTGTGATATTATCCAATCAACAAAACTCTCTGCGTAGCGAATTTTTTTTTATGAAATTTTTAAATTATTTTCGTCAAAAAAACGATTCTGTTTAACGAATCAATTTTATATTTTTGTTCTTCAACAAATTTTTAACATTTGCGACGAATGGAGTAGGTACACATTATTTATACCGGGTAAAAAATTTACTGATCTGCAATACGGGCGCTCACGTCATAATAACAGTAAAAACGAGTTATTCAAATAAATCGAGTTGTACTTCTTTTTAATGAAATTTCTGTTTGATAAATGTTTTCAAAAATCCCTTCAAGTTCGTCAAACAGAAGTCCCGCTTTACATTATTATTATTATTATTATTACAGATCGCGTAATATGTTATGATATTATATGTGTGTGTTTATGTACATGATCGACGATATATACCATAAGACTCTCGTATACGAAACGAAAATCGTTACATTACATATTAATCGCGTAATGGATATGTTAAACGTATCATGGTGCATACCGCACGGTCGTTAAACGAACGTATCATAATTGTACCGGTGCGGTTGCAGCGCCGTACGCACGTACTTAAAGGTACATGCGCCTTCGGTGAGCATTCAAGTGCACACTAAATTGCTACAACTTTCTACGACACCGCGCCGTAGCATCACTGCAACCACAGTGGTTGGCTAGATGATTATTATTATATCAATATGTTAGCTCCGAAATATAATATCATATGCGTATGTGGTATTCGAGTAGAAGGAGGAGGAGATGTACGTACAATTGATATGCGTACGTTAATTTAAAAAAAATTCCCAATTATCTTGTACGATAGATCTGACAACATTTAGACTTATGCCTGTGTAAAGATTTTGTCTCCGCGGTGAATCTCGCCTGAAGACTACCCTAAAAATTATCGTATGACTTTATGCAACGCCGCTTTAGTGACCAATTTGATTACGACCTAGACCAGCGTTTTTTAAAATTTTTTATCCGTGCAACCCTTTTTGATGTCCACATTTATCGTGGAATCTCCTTCTTTTGTTTTTTAGCTTTTTAGCTTTTTTTAGGATTATTTATAAATAAATTATCATCATATAATAATATTATTTTAAAGGTATTTAATTTAAAAAATGTTAAAATTAATATAATAATAATTACTTTAATTAGATTATTCCATATGATTTATACATTGTTATTTAATATATAAAGATTTTTTTTTCTATAATACAAACATTTTTTCACCATAACTATCTTTAGTTGGAAATTTTAAAGTAATATTCTTAACAATTTTTAAAAAAATTACTTAAGCTTCGCGGAACCCTGAAGGGATCTTCGTGGAATCCCAGGGTTCTGCGGAGCACAGTTTAAGAAACGCTAAACTATACTAATGTCTCAGCAGTGGAGCTTCTTGGCTGGCAAACCTAATATGTATTACAATATATTATCATATGCACATATAGTTTGAGAGTAGAAGGAGGAGAATAAGTATGACGTATGTTATACTTACTTAAACGTAAACATGTAAGTAATATATATAGGAGATAGGTATACTTACCCATCGTCGTACACTTGTACGAAAATTACATCATATATTTAAGACATTATTATTCGTGTTCGTATGCGTTATCGTGCGGTGGCGTACTTAAATATATAAATACAATAAATTATAATAAATAATTTGATAATGTAGTGATATTCATTTGAATGCGATATTATACAGTAGCCGCAGTCTATTTTTAAATAAATGGAACCTACTGGATATACGTACATACAAATACATATGCGTCATCGACTCACATTAATTCAATTTAGGTATATTCTATAAGAAATCATATAACAATAAGAGTTCTCTTTATAACTGAAATCTTGGACAATATTTCGTTATTATATGTATTCTCGGAAAATTTAATTATTGGCCAAAAATCACGACTTTTTTAAATAAAATGTTTTAAAAATTAACCACAATAGTTGTCTCTGTGTTATCAACATATTTACCTTACATGATCACCTAATATTTGTCTATTGTCTACATATCCAGTTTTAAGAACACTTGATTTAAATAATTTGAACTATTAATTAACTGATTACAAATTATTTTTAAAGTCCACTAAATAGACTCTACTATACATTTACATATATACTAATAGTACTTCAATGACAAATATATAATTCTCTTTAGAAGAAGTTAAGGTTTAACAGTGAAAAAAATATCGGGCATATGACCCTCCCTACTAGCCCTACAGACGATTATTTTTTCCATACAATTTACCATCACTGGATAACACATTGCTCCATCAAGTTCGTTGAAGACACGACGAATTTCTTGTTTTAATTCCAAGACATTTCGTACTTTGTTCTGGTAAATCCAGTGAATTAGTGAGAAAATCACACTGTTTCAAGTCGTAAGATCGAAGTGGTTAGCTTTGGCCACGCAATGTGATTAGTCTGTCCGGAAACTTCTCACACAGCAGGGTATTGTTTCTCTTAAAATGTAACAAGTTGCTCTGTCTTTTTGTAACCATACAAGAATACCTACTGAGCTTAGTAAATTTCTTTGGTCTTATTTGGACCAAATGAACATAAAAAATGTTTAGTTTCAACTTGTCACACATTTTATGGTGAGTCATATGCCCGATATTGTTTTTCACTGTTAATCCTTAACTTTTCCCGAAGAGAAAAATATATTTATTATGTTTTTTTAAAAGAAATAAATTTTATCTATAGCCAGATTTAAATCCTGCGTTTTTTTTGAAACATCCTATATATCTTGACGGATTAAAGTTTTCGTCAGTATTGATTCTTTAAGCGACTTTTCCAAAAACAATAAGAGTAGGTAAAAATAAAAAAAAGTTTTGACGTTATTAAATGTATTTTCTATTAATATTTGTATTTTGTGTATATGTATATGCATTAATTTATAATCATGATTCGGTTATAAAGTCTCAAATAATTAACAAAAATAAAAATATAAAATTTAATGTATGTATATTGTTTTTGTTAAACAGCAACGGTTTCAGCAGCAGCATCAGCAGCTGTACCAGTAGTAAATGTAAATCGAGATGAAGACGGTCAGGAATCAGGGGATCGTAGTTTGACCCACGACACGGTGCCATTCGACGACCGACGGCGGGCCGCCACGGCCACTGCAGTGGCTATGGCCGCGGCCGCCACGATGATGCGACAGAGGTCAGCCGCAGCTGTGGTTCAACAAAATCAACAGCTTCAACAGCAGCTCCATCATCATCAACAACAACAGCAGCAGCAGCAGCAGCAACAACAACAACAACAACAACAACAACAACAACAACAACAACAACAACAACAGCAGCAGCAGCTACAACAGCAGCAGTGCAGAACGATCATGGCCACTGCGGCGGCCGTAAGCGGTGGCCGCGGCCCCGGCACCGTCGGATACGATTATTATTCATCACCACCACCACCAGCCGGTGGCTACTACGGCAGCGTGGGCGTCATGGACGACGACAACGGTATGGACGACGATATGGAACACGGCGGCGGTGACGACCGGGACGTCGACGGGGACGTGGGCCGCGACGGTATCGTAGACATGAGCGGTGGCGGTGGCCACGACGCGTCCGCCGACAACGATGACGACTGCTACGGCGGCCCGCCGTCCGCCGGTGGATCGAACAAGAGGAAACAGCGCCGGTACCGGACCACGTTCACCAGTTACCAGTTGGACGAACTGGAAAAGGCATTCGGCCGCACTCATTACCCGGACGTGTTCACCAGGTGAGCTTTTTACTCGTATTACGGTACACCTCCATCCACTTTGTCTGTCTCATTCGCCAGTACATGTGCTGTGCGTACAGAGTGATCGGATTTTCGCGTTAAATTGTTTTACGTAAATCGAAATGTTACGCAATAAGATAAACAGCGTTCTCTATGTTTTCGAATGTTATTTTTCGACGTACAGCTTAAGTCGGTGAACCGTTCGAAATTAAAATGTATATCAAACACATCGTTGGGTTAATCGCTAGAGCCTACAATAAAATGTAATCCCGAACAACAACCTCTTTTCTATTTAAACCGTATTTTATTAATTATATTGTTTATGACACATGTGACTAGGTAGCATACATTCTAAAAGAACCACTGTATTCGGTATGTACATTTCATCCGTAGTGTGATAAACTGGCACAAACGTTGCTTTTGTTACGGTTATTTTATACAAGCCTAACAATTCTCCGTTTTTTTAAACGATTCGACTCGAATGTCGAATGTACTATTGTTCGACCGGCGGGGTGAAGGAGGTGAATATACAGCTCGCAACTGTAACGCGTAATACAACCGTTGACGGCTTACCATCTTAGCACACTGAAAGTAACTTAAAATCCGAACAATATCTATTATGACGCGTTTGTCTATCATTCGGACCGTCATTGTTCAACGCTGTGGTTCAATCGGGTGTATATATTAATTTACAATATTTTATGTTTAAACATCAATGTGTTGCTCATTTAATAACTACCTATATATTTTACGAGATTGATGAGCCTTTGAAGTCCCTCAACAGAGCTATAAACATAAATCAGGGAACTTTAAAAAATAAGTATTGTGTAGAGATAGTCTAGCCAACTACTATATATATATCGTACGGATTCCATTAGATACCTCCATCGACGGACATTCTTATTTTTAACGAATACCCGATAGTTATGTTACATTTTCTAATATGAATTTAAAAACGATTTGGTAAAATTATCTTAATGTACCTGTATCTGAGTATTTCAATTAAATCCATTAAATTAATCATTACCCACATTTTTGAGATGGTCGAGAATGCGTTCTTGTGAAATTGCAGTGCAGGTATTCTGGAATTTCGAATTTAAACATTTCATTGCAATAATTTTTAAATTCTGTGAGTGTAAAATTAAAATTTAATAAAAATATTAATCTGGCTTGATTATTGTACATTTTTTTTACAACGGTTATATCAGGTGTGTCCAACTTTTTTCAACTTGTGACAGGCCACATTCGAAATTTATAATTATACTGAGGATCGAATACATCGGTTGTTTTTGATAAAATATATATTAAATATATTATATTATTTAATATTATCTTTGATTACTAATCGAATTTATGATTATAAAACTGGTTACACACTATGCGTAGATGAACACGTACGTCGGCGTGTTTAAAACGTCACGTTTAAAAAACGATCTCAATAACTGCTTATGCGCTACACGAGTTTTACAGCAATTTCCTTGAAATACTACGCAAAAATAAATCGTAAAAGGTAAATTAAAAATTCGGAAACGCAGGAAACGCTGCGGAGTGTGAATAAACACATATGCACAACCGTTTTTAAATTTTATTATCAAACAGAATGCTACGAAATCAAGCGTTTTAAATCATATTTTTTACACTAATTTATTTCTATTCAAAAATTCTATAGTTGAATATATATTTATTTTTAAAAAAAATTAAAAATAATAAAATTTGATTTGATTTGCGATTCTTAAAAGTTTATTAAAATAAGATATTTTATTTAAATTATAATTTTATAAAATTATCACGGGCAAGTTAGAATACTTTCACGGGCCACGGGTTATATTGTGTATAATTGATAAAAATGATATTTTACCGTGTATATTACATTTATTACATATAAACGTAAATTTCTAGAATAGTGAGAAAAAATTAAGCTGGACTTTAGATCTAGATTAAAAATCAGAGTTCTAAAACATATATAAATGTATATATATATATATATATATATATATAAAGCTCTAGGATAATTTACTCCATTACCTCTCTTATTATACTATAAATAATTTTTTGTATGTTAAAAATACGCCTAATTACTATAATCAAGAGTTGTACATTTATTCTATCATAATTACATAATATATATATCAACTATTTTACAACCATATAAATATACTTGTTTTTTGTTAAATTCTAAATTTGATAATTATAGATTGGGTATGCTATAAGATAATTATTATTATAACTGATATTTCCATCAATTCCGTACACATATATTTGGAGAAATATTATTTTTTGCCGAACGGTACAAAAAAAAAAAATATCAATGAGAATGTCGAAGTTTTTAATTAATAATTAAATGTTTTTAAAAAGTATTTAGAGTACTATTCAAATACATTTCAAATTATAATTTTAAATATAATTGTACCATTGTGTATTATGTTTACTACCAAATATCTACCTAATAAATTCGTAAACATTTTTAAATAATAATTTAATAATATATAATTATATAATAAAATTTTGAATACTAATAAATTAGTACTTTCAATTACTAACATAGTAAATAGCCTTGGTTATTAAACCATTTAATTATGTGTTTTACATGCACCATGATAGTTTATCCTCGCAGTCGAAGATATAAAATAAAACTAATAAAGTTAATTTAATATTTTATATAATATTTATATATTTACTTATATTTTTTTATTTATAACTTAATAGTTATTATTGTATGCAGAATTATAATTATGTTTGAGTTTGCATATTTATGACAGACATTTTATCAACATAAAAGTAGTCAATTCAATTTTGTATTTAATTAAAAAAATTGGATTTAAAATGATAGTATCAGATTCTATGAAATTAATTTGACTGCTGGTGCTTGAATACATTAATTGCATTGAATATATTGTTATGATTACAACAATTGAAAATTGATTTTTATATTGTCTGGGATATCCTAGATTTAAAGTTTGAAATAAATAGTGCTTATACAAATATTTATATGCATGAATAATATGTATGAAAATTAATTTAAAGGTTTTTATTAAAACAATTATGTTTACAAAAAGATTTTTTCTTCTTCAGTTTGTAAGCACATAACAACTCTGTCCTCCAATAACTTTCTCGTACCATATATTTCAAATACTTAATATATATACCATAAACATACAATATTTATATACAATATGCTTTTATATGTGTATTTATGTAATATAATCATGTTTAGATTTCATGATAATGATCGTGTGTTTGTTTCAGGGAAGAACTGGCGTCAAAAATAGGGCTGACTGAAGCCAGAATACAGGTAAATCATCATTAAATACACTAAATATACACATATATACAGTGATCGACTTGGCAAAATTAAAGAAGGGGGCCTTTGTTTACGTTAAAAAAAAAGCGTTCCCAAAACTTGTTAAGCGTTAAAATTATAACGTAATAATAGTAGGGGAACGAAAAAATATCTGAAAATTAGTTGGGATACTCTTTCCCCCTACGTCCTCCCTCAAGTCGAGCACTGTATACAGGAGTATGTTACATTGATTATATAGGGGCGTTAATTGAAAATACGAATAACATAAAATAACAATGCACGATGGGTTTATTGAATTTATTGAATGATTTAATAGATTTTATCCAACTCAAATCTTATCAAATCACGTTTATAATCAATTACACCCTAACTTACTCCTTTTATTTTAATATAGAATATCGTATATTGGATATTCATGTCCAATATTACATGTATTGGGTGTATCAGTATTGTTATTTAATTTACATAAAAAACACATCACGATGACTGATCACATCGATAAAACTTAATAAACATCGTTAAATCTCGAATACCGAAAAAATAACTAATTAATTTGAACGTAAGCACGAAATAAAAAAATGGCTTCTGTATAATAAAAATAACAAAACTATTAAATTGAATTCCAATTAAATATTAAATTAGTTTTTAAGACGTATTTCTTTTCTTGTGAAATCGGCTGGTATTTAAATAAGTCAAATCTAAACACCTGTAGAATGAACAGGATAAAGATAGAGAAATTATATTAAAACGAAACGCACAATTTAAATTAAAAAAATCGTGAGATATATTAAAAAAAAAAAATATGCATACAGTGTTTCGAATGAAAAAAGTTTTTATTGTTTTTTAAAGTATATTATTGAACAAATTACTTTAAGTCATAAATAATAACTAATAACTAATAACTATTATTAATTTTGTATATAACTACATAATATGAAACATAAAACTAATAACTCATATCAGACGATCAATCGGTCGGATAATAATTGATTTCAAGAACCATCGGTTGCTGATAAGATTAAAGTAAAATATAAGTATTAAAATAAAAAAAATAGTAAATAATATAAATGATAGGAACTCGCAGAAGAAAAAAATAAGTATTATTCCAATGGTAAGTTTTTCATTGTTCACATGTGATGTAAACAGTCAGTCTCATTGAAATAGTACGCGAATACGAACCCGTTATTTAAGCTCCAGTTGGGGCCTATCAATATTTTAAGTTTTTCTTGTGGGCCCGAGCCCTTTTAAAACAGGTTTGATGCCGTGTCCCTAACCTCAGAAATCCAGTCTGAATACGGATATAATTAATTTTCGTTCGTTTCTGGGCCGTATAACTGTTTTTCTTGAGATTCATCGCACCACTCGGATGATGTACTCGAATACATTCAGCGATCGGGTACGTAATGTATGCAGTGTACAGTATCTCGGCGACGGTTTCGAACGACGACGACGAAGAGCGTTAAAATCATTGCGTTTTGCACGCACAATAATGATAATAATGTTAAACTGATGCACAAGGCGTCCGGAGAGTCGAAACGTATTTTCTCCGTAAAAACACAACCGTACAGGTGATATACACCGTGTATATACACGTTTTATAACACACACTGGCGCGTATAATGTTTTATTATCATATTAAAGGAACGTAAATGTAATACAGGTATACACCGCTTATAATATTATTACGAACGGACGGGCTTGTACGAAACCGAGTTGCCGCGGGCAGCGTTCGCTTTTCATACTCCCAATTATCGTCGAGGATAATTTATTTATGTTTATTATTCGTCGTCGTCGTCGTCGTCGTTTATTTGTTTTTAATATTTTTTTAAATTAACAACGGCGCGCAGTCGACGCTCACCAGGTTCCACCGCGACGCGGTGGTGCGTATATTTAATATCATTCGTATTACATACTACACACGTATCAAGAGTTTTTTTATATTTTTTTTTTTTTTTTTACCAACGTCTGTACGTCCGTGCGCTCACCGATTATTAGTTTTATATTATTTTTTAATATACAAATAAACGGACCGCGGTGGTTTTTTTTTTTGTGCGCGCACCGTTCATCGTATTGAAAACCGAGCTGCCAGAGGCTGCTGCGGGGCATCCGTCCGGAGATATCCGCGCGCATCGTGCACGCGGCGGCACGGCGTCCCGTCGCGATAGTATGGTACCGCGCGCGCGCTCGTTTGTCGTCATCGCGTGTAATATATTAAACGGATTACACCGCGTGTACACCATAAATAGTATATTGTACGCGCACGACCGTTCGTCGAATAAAACGTAATGCTAACGAGCGGTCGCCGCCGCTGGATATTTAATAATAACGACGAGATGTAAGCAACCTGGTTGTTGTTTACATGTACAAGTCGCGAGTGCACGCGCACTGGGTATTTGTCCAACGCTGCGGTTCTCAAAGTTTTCGGTTCCGTTTACGCCGATAGTGGTGCCAATTCTACAGTTCACTTTAATTGAAACAACGATGGTATTGTTTTTATTGATCCGACCTGCAGTATTCCAATATTTGATTTGACGGACGAAAATTAATGCGCACGTCTTATGCTTGTATACAATTTTATATTGTTTGTATAAACGTAACAACAGTTTAACTAATCATTGTGTTTGAATTGGATATAATTTGGATTCACGAAGTGTCTTCAAGCTAGTTTATTCTGGCGGATCCTTAAGACTCCACGGAGCCCTGTTTGACAACCGTTGGTCTGACATATTTTTCGTGTTGCGGTATATCATGTTCAATAATCCTTACAACATTACTCGCGTGTAGGGTTTTTTTTTCACACATCCATATAACACGCAAACACATCTTAAAATGATAAAATATGAAGTTATATCCACGTATCAAATTGTATTTTATTCAACATGATCTGAGAATAATAAATAATTATTTGAATGTGATATTTAAAAAGAAATGTTTCCATTGCACGACATGAATAGTATCATATCATATTCGACATTCGTTTTCAAGTTTACGATTTATAATACTTTATTTAAAATTGTCATTAAAAAAACTATATAGGTATTTTATGATGGATTTTTATAGAGACGGAAAATCATAAAAATTGTATAAAACAAAAGTAAATTCAAATATTCGATGAAAAAATAAATAGATAATACTATGAATAGTATATTTTTTTGCCATATTTATCCAACGATTTTACAACAGTTATATTATTTAAGTTATGGTAAGTATGAATTTAAACATTTATCTTTGTTTTAGACTGCTAAAAAATTCAAGTTCTTTAGTAATAACAATAAAGTCATTGCTGATTTCAATATTAACATTTAACTTAAAATGTATAATACCCATCCAATGATATTTTGCCTAATAACCATAACGGTGTTATTAAATTTCAGTGTCATTTATTAGTTTTTGGATTTCAGACTGATGTCCTTTACTCGTCCTGCGTTTTTTTTAGCTACCTGTAGGTACATAAGTATATTCATAATTGATGGCAAAACAAACTCAACGATATAATAATTATAATACTGATAAAAATCGTTCATCGAATGTATTAATACCGCAATGTCTGTAAAGGGACGCCTTGCTGCAATGAAATATTATCTGGTCTAAAAATAAATTTTCCTAATGATTAGTCGTACTATCGACTTGGAGAAAGGCGCCCTTAAAAAACCTTGGTTCAATTAGGGCGCTATGAGTTGAAAAAATTTGGGAAGTACTGTATTAATGCTTTTTTAATCGCTAAATAATTTCGTTCATTAAAATAAAAATATTTGACTTGAATATTATACATACACATTGACCATAATATTATCTTTAAATTTTGATATTTGTTGATTTTTGAATCTAAGACTAATGTCCTTCACACGTCTTGTATTAATTTTAACTACTGGTACATAAATACATCATTATTTGATGGCAAAAAAAATTATTTCTAATCATTTATCAAACGCATTGATACATTTTTAATCGTTAAGTAGTTTCGGTCGGTCCAATAAAAATGTTAGTCTTGGATATTTTACGTCATCATACCTAAAATCTTTCCTTCTTTAATTCATCATGTATTCAAAACCGAAACATTTTTATACAATTCTAATCAAAAATATCTAATTCTCAAACTTTTAAACTCTTCTACCATTTATTTTTTTTTCAAAATATTTTTGTTGTATGCATGTATTGAATCTGCCATTATATGTTATTATCGCGTGTAAAATGCTGGTTACATTTATTTAGAACTGGATTTTTGAAAATTAATTATAGAAAAAATTACACAAATTTAGCAGACCAATAAATATGAACTGTTTATAAATAAAAAGTGAATTTAAAAAATATTGAAAAAGAACGAATAAAAAATCCAAGCGTACGTCCTTTTAATGTCTATAACAGTACGTACGTATTATCCGTATTGTTATTTTTTATTTGCTCGTGTATTATACTATTATTATTGTCTCAACTATAACGTGCACACCATCATACCCACACCACGCATGGTCTCCTTAAATGAGGGGCTCCTTATTCGCCCTCTTTGTCAAACCCTCGGTCGACAATATTATTATTACATCCAGTACGCGTTCAAGTGACTGTAGCAAATTAGATTTAAACACGCGTAAACGCGTGCGTTGTTATGTAATATTAGCATTTTCGTCATATAGCGTATTTGTTTGTAAATACACAACAAGAAGTCGGTAAAAAATAAGGGATGTAATGTATTATTACAACGTAAGTATATTCATAAAATGTTTTCATGTCTTGGAAATCATAGCGATTTTATTTCAACGTGAATCTAAATTAAGGTAAGCTAAACCTTATACATATGTATTTTCCTATGTTTATTTAAATATACATTGAAAAAATTGAAAACTTTGTAAAAATCCGAATGAATTAAAAATTACTTATGTTTCTTAACTTATTTGTGTTAAAAGAATAATCGTGTATGACTAGAATATATTATTATAATAAGGCTTTAAAAATAAATTAATAATCATTTATGTTGCAGAGTTATATTATATACA